AGATATCTCAACATAAAAACTTTGGTTGGGCACAAAAACTGGGGAGCACTCACGGAGTGTTGTTTTGCGCCTAACAAAATTGACTCCAAAGGATTCCGGTTAAAATTCTCGTTATGTTTGCGAATTTTTCCAAACACGGGTTTTATTTTGAGACAGAGGGAGTACTTAGAACAAGTACGTGTTAGCAGATCGCAATCCGCTTACTCCAAAAGTAATTATTGCCTTACCCCAAGGCTAATTACTCGTCCGTTTAAAATCTAAACTGATTTTTATTTATTTTTTTCTGCCGCAAGGCCGCCTAATTTTAGATGTATAGATTTTCCTAAATATATATAGTAAAATCCAAATACATGCATAACTACTGGGCTACCTAGCCACATACCGTATTCTTGTTTGGGTGCAGTCACACCATGATGATCGTATTGAGCTAGTATAACTTTCCTTTCTAGCAATTCATCTACCCATCTCGTGTGACACAAACCCCTGTTACCAGGGTACGTGTAACCCCGTTACACCTCCTTCCTGAATTGGTTTTGGGGGACTGTCAACATGCATATTGTGAGGCCAAACTTCGACTCTCGGATGAACTAAACATTCGTTCAAGACATTTCAAAATGAGCAGACTGGTCGCGAGCACTACATGCAATATTGCAAGATTATTGAGCTTTAATCTGGTTGCTATATGAATTATGCATCAGGAAGAGTCCCACAGTGTCCGTCTCCCCGATTCGCTTGAAATGAAAATTTTATAAACCTGCTATATAGAAAATTCCACATAAGCCCACATTTACGGCTATTGGTCATGTATATGCTGTTATTGAAAGGACTGATGTAATTAACTAAGGTTTATTGCAAAAGGTGATACAAATAGAAAATATTCGCGAGATGTGATATAATTGTGTATAGACACCATTGTTATGAAAGATAGAGGGAAGGTCAACAGCAGAGTCTATCTTTCAGGCACATGCATTTAAAAATGGAGTGGATCATTTGTCCTCCATAATTCAGAAGCACATTACCACATCAAGTACCTGAAATTTTAATGATCTGTAGCTTTTTTAAACGATTTTATTGCAAAAGGTGATCCAAATAGAAAATATTCGCGAGATGTGATACAATTGTGATTTAAACCCATTGCTACACTCGGTAATTATACCAGGTCTCGTATTTTTCGTGTTTAAAACACGCTTGTATCACATCTCGCGAATATTTTCTATTTGTATCACCTTTTGCAATAAGCCCAATTAACTATTTAATATATTTTTTTGATTTTTGCGTTTAACTAATTTGAATCGCTCAAAACCGAGTCTGTGTAAGGCAAGCTGTCAATGCGACACACAACATTTTGGCGGCCTTCATTATTTGCGACCTGGTATATGCAAGATCGTAAAATCAATTAAGTCCAGCTTAAAGATTCATAATTGCAAGCCTAAGGAATTAGGTATGTATTGCTAAACGAGATTTTCTGATCAGAATTACGTAAATGGCTCATAAATTTTGGAGTGAAGCCACTGCTAGTGACTGATTGATAGAAACGTACGAACGAGAAGATTAATCAAGTTCAAAAATTTCGACAAATATTATAATCAGATAACCGGTGACGTAGATGAATGCTCGGGCGGAGATAAAGCCACTTTTTTTATACGACTTCCTCGCGCTTGAGGCGGAATTACATTCAATGCCCCCCGAGAAACAGTACGTTCTTTAGGTGCGAGACTCATTTTGATGTCCTGCATCTTTCGCGTGGCCTCAGCCACTTGCTTTGACTCAAGAACAGACTGAACATTGCGATTGCGTTGCATCAATCGCTTTGAATCCAAAGTACGCTGTTTCAAGTGTTCATTACGTCGACCATCAATGCGTTTTAAAAGTGCTTTCATCTCAGCTTGTTGCTGTTGTCGAAGTTTGGTCTCTTTGCGTGCAAACACCACAAGTAGCTCATCGCTTAGCTTGGACCGTTCGTCAGCTTCGACGTCATCGGCAAGTTGCTTCATCTTTTGCGCCTCTGTGTAGCTTTTCTGCTGTGCTAGACGATGCTGACGACGACGCCACTCAATAAGCTCCTTACTAAATTTTAACGGGCGCTTGTACGTACCATGCTGCAATTTCTCTTGATATGCTACAAGATCAGCTGCATGTCTTTCCGTCATCTGCTTCACGTACGTTTGAGCAATACGGTCGTACTCTTCCATGTACTTATCCCATACTCGATTAAAGTCATTTAATTGCATAACATGCGCCATCTGGACGTCCTGACGCTCGGCTATCTGACGCACTTTCAACGCTTTGGATTGCCTTTTAAATTCCTTTTGACGGAGAGTTGTAAGCTGTGAATCTGCACGCTGTGCTTCCAAATAATTTCCGTCTCCTTCACACTTTAAGCGATACTCTTCTAGAATGACGATAAAGTCCATAACTTTTGGGTCTGATTCAAGTCGAAGGCTAGCACCTTTTGTCAACGCTTGCTCCTTTTCTCGCTGTCGAAGTGCATTGCTCCGAAGAAGCGATGCAAGATCTTGAAAGCTTACCACGCCGCTATTATCCGTACAGTCGTCCAGCTCATTTAGAAGCTCTAATCACAACCACGCTCAATTTATAAAAAGCAGATCAAAAGACTATTTGTTCAAGACCTTCCGATGCATCTCGCCCAAGCTTTTCCAGTAGTTCTGGAATATGTAAAGTAGAGATAGAGCCTGATTCGTTTTCGTCGTATACATTAAAAACAGCTAAATCAAGACACGGCGTTGGTCAGTGTGCAAAATCTATCCAACAATTTTCCGAACAAACCTCGCAGTTCATTGAAGTCGTCAGCAATGAGTTCTGTAGAGTTTGTACCAGACATGGCGAAGTTTGAGAAGCTTCAGGACAAAGTAAATCGTGTTTACAATTCAAACTTTATAGCCTTCATCTATCATATCTCCTTGCTATTCTTGTCAATCGTGATGATCAAACTATGATCCAAAAATAACAGACACTCACCAAGAAACGCCAGTATCGAATAGCACCTCTCGCTCATCATTTCTCTCTACAATTCTACCTTTTCGTCCTGCTGCCTTGGTCATCAACTATGTGGGCAAGCCATGGGTGTGCTAAGCAATCTTTCGCTGTCGCGCGTTTCGATGGATCGTAACGTAGCATGGGACCAAGAAACGACGCTAGGCATTCGGCGTCATGGCGTGAAAAATGGTACTTTTCCACCAGCACCTGCTGCAAGCTCCAAAATTTGAGATTTCGGATGCGCTTGAGATCGCCCTTGCGATTAAAAAAATCTCGTAAACCACGCCGAGATCCTGAAAGCGATTTTGGCATGCGACCAAGCAGCTCAATCATTTGCGCTAAATGATCTTCATCACGATTAAAATTTCGTCCAGTTTTAGGATCAAAGAGGAGATCCCCTGTGAGCAGCTCAAACACAAAACATGCCATCGACCAGATGTCTGCTGACGTGTCGTAGCCTTTCTCCAAAATTACCTCCGGACATCGATAGTGACGCGTCTGAATATCGTTTGTAAAATGTTTCGAAATCCAGCAAGCATTGCCGAGATCACAAATTTTCGCGTCTAGTTTGTTTAGGTCAAACAGTTCGCTTTTTGCGAGTTTGTCAAAGTGGTTAGCCCAGGGGCTAAGTCGCAGCCGCAGCGGTTTAATTTGCGAAATATTTAATCCTACCAGAGAAAGCACGTTGACTCCTTGTATCACAGCGTCAATATCATCGCCATCTTTTCTAACTTTCGCGGTTGCCGCCTTCGCTGCACTCTGACTGTCGTGGGAACTTAATGTTTTGGGAAGATAGAATCCGGGAAGCGCTAGACCAGACGAAGTCGCAACTTTTATGAAATAGAGATCGTCAATACGACGTTCCAGGTAGTCTACAGAGCAAGAAGATTGTCAGTTAGGAAACGAAGTGATATGATGATAGGAGCTGAACGCACCAAGAATCGCATGTGTATATCGGGCATCAAATTCCAATCTCCAAAGTTGAGACTTTGCCACGGTCGACATGTTAGCTCTAGCTCGCGTGCCATCTTGACAGAGGTCTCGCAATTCTTCTACAATAGAGCTTGTTACATCGTCATCTACCTGGTTTAGGTACCTTAAAACAAAAGATGTCTCCACGACTTCATGTCCGTCATACTGCTTTTCATTTACCATTGACATATCGGTTGCTACTTTCAACGTGAATTCACGCTCCTTGCGTTTCGAGCCTGCAACACGACCTGGCGGAAGCAATATCATTACCCGTGCTGCAAACTCTGGAGGCAAATGTACCCAGTCTTTGTCTTCTTCACCACCATGCTGCTCGACTATATGGTACCACTTTCGTGATGTTTCAACCATGACGTCAGTTTTGGCGACGAAATTGTCTTTGAAAATATTTCTGATCGCGTTTGTATCGGTATCGGTGGAGACAGAGAGTCTCGACACATTATTGCTTAGCGCAACTACAGGACAATTGCTTGTGGTGAGTGTTGGGTGTGTTGTGCAGTCTAATCTACCAGGAGAAACAATATTGTCCACCGAACGTTCCCGATCGACAGCTCCGCCCTGTTTTTTCATCCTTTGCCGTTTCTTTTTAAGACGATTTTTAAGACGCTTTTTTTCTTCTTTCGACATCTTTGCTTCATCGACACATGAAACGTTCTTATCATCTCTACTGTTTAATACCATCATTTCCTCTGGACGCCGTGCAAGATGCATTGCTCGAAATGCCCCCCATTGTGATTTTTGAATCTTTGGCAGCTGCGGAATGTGATGAGAGAGCAAGACGTTCTCAGGTTTTAAATCCGTGTGAATAATCTGACACTTGTCATGTAAAAATGCTAGTCCTTCCAACACATCCCTTGTTAGGCGCTGGACTAATTGCATCGGTACTCCTCTGTAATTGTAGTACTTGATTAAAGTCAACAAGTTGTCTCCCATCATTTCAAACACCATGCACACGTGTACACCATTAGGTCCTTGATGTTTAAACGAATCAATCATACGAACCACTTTAATGGCTCTCTGTTCTTCAATCGAGTCATATGCCTCCTTAGCCGCCTGCACCGTGCAATCTAGTAGCTCAATCTCGTCGTTTGCTGCTTCTGTGTAGCGACGCGCGCTCCTCTGTACCTTCATAGCCACAAACGCATTCGTCTGTCTGTCTAGACACTTCCACACTGTAGAGAAATGTCCCCATCCGAGTTTCTCGACAACTTCAAACCTTGCGTTATAGATCTCGCCAACCATTACACTGTGATACCCTCCAGGTTTGTAGCTGCTTTCGCCTTCGTCCTCACTTTCAGAGGAATATTTATCCTCTTCGTACTCACCCTCAACCTCTTTTTCACTACTATATTCTTCATTACTACTTCCACTCAATGGCGAAAATGAGCGACGCGCTGTTGAATTAGAGCCTTCAACGCTATACGAATCAAATTCCTCGTCCACCGCTTCCAAGCTCGACGATGGTGTTAATACAGTAACACGAGCATTCACAGGTGCAGGTTTTGCTCGTCGTCCTTTTTTCTTGCGATTTCGAGTCTTCTTCGCGACAGACGGTTTCGTCGTAGCCGCTGCATTGCAAAGTATTGATTCAGAGATCAACGTTAGAAAAAGTAGTTTGAGGTATCAAAGAAGTTAATGTGTCATCATGAGAAACACCTGACGACGTAGATTACGTACTGCCATAGGTGCTGGTACCATGCGCATTAGTAGAGTCCATAGAATTGCGTGAAGGAGGAGCGGACGTAGCAAACAACGCGTGTTTAAACTACTCACAAATGGCAATTCGATACTTTATAAAACCTGCACTTTTTTATATACACATCCTCGACTTACAATAGTAATTTAGTCCTTCAAATAAGTTATCGTGACGCCCAGACTGGAACTGATTAGATAACGCCACACAGGACATACTGACATCCCTATACGATGCCTAGCTGTCAATGCCAAGATGCTTAAGATATTTAAAGCGAAGATCATGAGACGAACGAGCACGAGGTGGTACGAGCACGTGCTTCTGCGACAGTGTGAGAGTCGGCACTGACGATGTCACGCTAAAAGTACGACTGAGTGGCGGAGAGAGCCTTCGACGCGAGTCAGCTGCTGCTTGTGCCTCATCATCAGATTTTTGTTGCTGAATCACAATAGTGCGTTGTCTCGCTTCTTCACGCGCCATGGCTTCATTCTCCAAGAATTCATTATCAAGTTGCGCCTGATACTCCCGTTCCATCTCGTCATAGACAGCGTCCAGATTACGTTCAACCATGGCGACAAATTCGACACGAGTCGGCCACATACAATCGCGTTGTCGCTTAGAATAGTCACGATGCAGCGGAATATAAAAGAGCTCTGCCTCTTCATTAAAATGCACGCTCTTTTTTGCTGTAGAAGCAGTCGCGCTATAAGATGCAGCACCTGAACTTCGTGAGAGTGAAGATCGCAACTGCCTTGCACTGAAACTCCGCTCCTTGTCAATCAAATAGGACTTTTCATCGGCACATACAGCCGTAATAGGCGCATACCAGCTCGTGATAAATCGAAAGAATCCTTTTCCGCCATCATTTTGCTCCAAGTTGGCGTCATTCAGTTGCACCTTGAGACCTTCTCGTCGCTCCTTCTTACGCCCCGTACTTTTTTCCAAATCATTGCGTGATAAATTAAAGCCCAATTGACTCCAATATTGTCTTCTAATTGCTGCCGAGTCTTTTCGTAGCAAAGGAAAAGGATTTCCAAGCGTGGTATCGTCTGTTTGTACCAATTCATGCCGTTTCTCCTGCGCACTGCTAGGGCGACTGCTGCAAACAGGTGAAGTGTTACGCACTGCGCTATCAAGTGAATTCAGTGCCGGAGAGCTGCCGCTGCGGTGCGTTCGCACCATTATCGGGCTAAGCATCGATGGAAGGCTCTCTGCATCGCCACTTGCACCATTAAGTAAAACTTGTTTGCTTTTTGTCTTGTGTTGTACATTCCGTCGCGATCGTCGCCTGCGCTTTTCTTCCTCAACAGCCAAATCATCTACAGGACATACTTGAAGCCGCGAGGGCATGGGCTTCACTAAGAGTTTTTTTAAAGCGTTCTGTTCTGTAGTCTCCTCCTCATTCTCTTCAAACTCCAAGTCGTCGTCATCGGATGACAAGAGAATATGAGAGCCATAATCGTCATCCAAGACGTCAGAGCTCGAGTCCGAACTGGAGCTTGAGCTGAAGCGATCGCTGCTGCTCATAGTCGTGTCGCTTCTAATGCTGGCCTCTACAAGTGTCGTCGATTGGCTATTATTATGCTCGTTTCGTTTCTCGGCGTCAGTATTGTTCGTAATTGCTGCCTCCATTCGTTCATCGAACAAAGCAACGGGGAGTGATGATGTTTTGCTTTTGCTTGTACCTGCATTCAGCATATATGTGTCAAATTGCATTCTCGTTGATAACAGAGTAATCACTTCTTGCTTCAAAGGTTGTAGTGAAAAAATGCTTCGTGTGATACCTTTGCTTCAATCTTGCTTTCCTTCTCCCTTTTTTTACCAACAACGACGCTGGAGAAAGAAATTATCTGAATGTAACCGCCCGCAAAGACTAGGCATACATAAAATGATAAATTTCTAGTTTGTTTCTTTTGGGCGATTTTTTTAATATACGCGAGGGGTAGATACAAAAAAGATGTCAATGCAGCCCCAGATGTACTCGAACACATTTATAGAAATTCAAATGGCACGCACTTGCATTAGCAGAAGGAATTTTGGTGTGGAATGTCTGAACACATCTTGATGAGGGGAAATACGAAAGTCAAGATAAAAGTACTGGACATTTCCCCTCAATTGTGAATATAAGGTAAGGCAAGGTCACAGTACCCCAAACCCTTAGAAAAAATTATAGCAATCGACATTTTAAGAGAAATTGGTGTTCCCTGCAAAATCAAAGTAAGATACAAGAAAGCATGTTATTCTTGTTTGGAGTTTGCCCCATTTTTTTCACAATAAAATGTGTAAATTGTACTGTACACATTTAGCTAATGTTGTTCATCTATTGTACATGTATGACATATGATGATCCTGTGCACATGTGGTGTATTTAAACATGCTGTTTTGCAGAGCTTAGGTCTTCTTCAAGGGATTGAAAGACACAATTGCGGTCCTCCTTTACGAAAAATTGATCTCATTATATATATTATTAGTAAAGGGGGTCCGAAGAATTTGTATTTTTTTCACAGAATAGAAATTATGTAATGTTTTGCAAACGAAAACCTGAGTTACGTAAAGTGCACTGAATTTTATTTGTTGAACCATTAAAATCTATAAATCACAAAGTATGTTGTTACGGTGCATTTTTGAAGTAATTACGCAAGCATCTTAACTTGCTGTTCTAGCTTGCTTCACTACGAATTGATTGGTCTTGGCTTTCATAATGAAATGATAATGCGTAAACTCTGACTGATTGTCATCATGCATAAGGTTATGTCACCGACATCATTGTCAACTATCGACTCTATCAAGACAATATATAGCTTTAAATGGTGTATCTGCGGGAAAATGCAAATTAGGTCTCAACCTATCGCTAGGAATGAATTATAAGAATTGTGGCAGGCATAAAAGACACGTCAAAAAAGTCAGACATTAATCACAGGCCTTTTTACTGACTAATCAAGTGATCCAATCTGGTGTATCAAGTAGCGAAAACCTTTTTTTGCATGACGTCAATTATTCTTCACAATTATTTTCAAAGTACATTTTGGAGGAAGGCTTCACAATGCGAGAGCCAGGATTCATTAGCGTGCTTCGAGCAACTATATGAAACCACTGCGTCCTGATCTCTTCGATGTTATTGTGATAGTGTACAGGTAAGCGGTCTCTAATGCCCGTAACCTTCCTGTACGAGCATTAAGTGCACGCTATTGTTTAATTTGTTTTGATCAAAGACAGAATTCGCGATTGACAATGCCGCTAGTGTCGTGTATGTACGTAAAATATAAAATATTTAATCTTAAGGGGAAAATAAAAAAGTCTACTGATAAACAGAAAAATGAAAACAATAAACCAGATATTTGAAAAAAATAAAAATATACCACGTGTTTACTACATCAGGTATAGTTATTTAAATATATGTAAACATGTATACTTATTTGTAATTTGCAAGAATGTATGACAATAGTTTTCGCTTCATCACAGGTTTTGCTTTAATGACCCACATTTTTGCAACCACCGCATCTACGAACCTGTTTCTTTTTTAGCTGAGCGGCTGCCTGTTGTGACGGAATACGACTCTTGTGCAGAATTTCTTGCACCATTCGCTATGTTGTAAAATACCTTAAGACGTCGCAAAATTAGCTGTTTCGCATATGATGTCGCGAATTCATACTGCTGTACATCATTACCAAAATACTCGTTCTTGAGCCTCTTCAAAGCATTGACACCTATCATATACTCGGCAGATATTCTGTGAGCTTAAATAGTCTTTTGGACAGGGTGCTGCATGGGTTACCCAAACGGAATTCTCCTGGGTTTGGGTAATTTGCCAATACCCATGCGACCCGCTGCCCATGCAAGGTCGAACGCTGGAACCCTTGTAGTAAAAATGTTCATTCCTCCACCAACGAGACCGCAAACAGCTCGGACAACGAGAACAGGAATGCCAACTGCTCGTCGCAAACGGCCCGCTCCTACGCTACATTGACGCCAAGGTTCCCGTATCCAAACTGGCCAGGTCTATCGGCTCACAGGACCTGGGGCCACTGCTGACAATGCTGATGAAGAGGACGACCTACCAGTGCTATCAGATCAAGCCCAGGTTGAGAACGATGGCGGTTCAT